TTTGTTGAAATGGGGACAAACGCGCCTGCACATGCACATGTTTGCTGCATAACGGTTGCGACGTTGCTATCGATAGCCTTCACCCCGAAACCCCGACAGGCCCAGGCGGCGAAAGCTCCGTCAGCGGCATCTGTGGAGCCTTCTTCCAGCTCCACTCCAGAGGCGGAGCCCCCGCTGCCGCCTCCGGCGGAGAAGCCTGTGCAGAAGGAGGTCCGAACGAGTTCGATCTTGGGTGGCTTGAGGTGGCTTCCATGTGAATGTAATGGCAATGGGCGTTCATAGTAATATTTATATCATAACCAATCACTATGCCGCCGGGTGTGTCTGCATCGAGAGAGAGAGAGAGAGAGAGAGAAGCTTGTGGCCGGGGGTTTCGCACGCCCCCTAAGCCTTGAGGAAGAAGAGAATGGAGCACGAGAGCTGTAGAGTGAACGCGCCCGTGGCTCTACTTGTCCGGGTTCTATGTCCCTTTGCTCCCACCCAAGCTTCCTGGAACACCGAACGTATTCAAGAAGACAGTGTTCGGCGTTTTGTCTAGCGAATCTGGGTTCAGGGGAATTCCGCGAAGTTGTTAGCCAAACGTGCAGAAAGGTTCAGGGCATTCGAAAATAATCTTGATGTAAGTCCATCCGGCACTTGCCGCCGGTACGCAAGGCCAGTAGTTGAAATGGTGAAAGGCTAGCGGCAATAGAAACATGCGAACTGTCCCAAGCACCAAGCTGCCAAAGCACCGCTGTGTTCGGCGAGGCGGATCCCAGTTCTGCGTCGGTCGCCCGTGCGACCTACACTCTTTTGCTGGAGCTCAGGGTGCATTCTGCAAACTTTTAAGGTTTTGTGTGTCATGAGTCATGAGGCCATGTTTCCTCGAACAGGTTGAAACTGTGCGGGGCTTGCAGGCTCCGGGTACTTAGTCATTCGGGGCTCCGCCCTTTGTTTTCTTTTGAGTTTTTGGATTCAGACAATCCAAGCCCACGCTTAATAAAGGTTTTTTGGACTGTTGTCGGGTGATGGCCTCGGAAATTTGGAGCCAAGCCCATCCTTTGACCTTCCTTTCGGGAGACCCGGAGGATTGGGGGTCGAGATTTGGTCCCTACACTGGCTCAAGATTTGGTTCATCATTTAGCATCATGCCTTGATTTTTTTATGGCCCGTAGGTTTCGGTCACATTTTTTTGCTTTGGATGTAGAGCTTGCAACAGACACAAGGCGAGCGATTTCAGAGCCCGGCTTTAGGCCTCAGACTCTTAGCTTCAAAGCTTTGAAACAATCAAAGTCTAAGTCCCTAAACCTGGTTTGGTGCTCTCTTTCTGTACTCCACCGCCACACTCTTGATGCCTAAAGGAGAGAATGGCGGCTGAGAGGCAGGCAGCTGAGCGGATGATGTCGCAAGCAAAGGCCCGAGCCTTAGGATTGTTTGAAAATCTGGGGGGAGTTTCATAAAGTTGGTGACCTCTGCAGACTCTTGGCTAAAGGGCCTACACAACGAAGGACCTCAGGCCCAGGGCCTTTCCAGGTCTTCCGAGACTGTTGGCTAAACTGCTGTCTCGGAGGCTGCAGTCGGCAGGGCCACTGCCAGGCTCTCCGGCCGAACGCCAGGGCCGCCAGGCCAGGCTTGGCACCAGGAGCTCTTTTTGGGAGGCTCAGGGTTTAGGGCGTCTATAGGCCAGGAAGGCGATCGGACAAAGAGGCGACGGTCATCAAGGGTGGTGATGATGATGATGATGTCGATTTGATGTTGAAGGTCGTTGTCACCTTTCTCACTTTCCCTCGCGCCTTGTTTTCCCAATGCCTTACCACAGTGCTTGAAACAAGGGTTTCTTCAGAGCATTCAACACGAGTTGGGTACAAACGAATCAGGAGAGCTGTGCTGTTTATATTTTTTGTCCCCACAAATTTCGGCAGCTATGCCCATTTTGGCCATCAGTGTGAACCTAGTCATGGCCGCCTTCGTCGCGTGGAGGAGCGAGGGCGGGAGCCCTGTTGTCGTGTCACCATTTGTGTTTGCCATCCGGACTTTCGTGCCGTTTCGAGAGCTTTCAAGTCAGCCATGGTCTTGAGACATGGATCTGAAGGGGTGCGGCACGGGTGCGGCAAGTTTGCTTCATGCCAGCATTCGAAACCACGAGTTCGAGATGACTAAGACCCAGGGTGACCCGAGATTGTTGTGTGGACTCTCACGTGCAACGAGTGGTGCAACTTCCTGTCATGCTCGATGAACGCCGTGCTCAGTGCGGTGCGGCAGTGCTGGCAGGTACCTCTGCCGAGCCAGCGTCAGCTGCGAAGCATGGATGCAGCAGCATTCATTCCCATTCAGGGTTGGGGTTCGTTTCTGTCACAAGCCAGTGCAACCTGCAATGCTGCAAAGCGGGTCTGGAGGTCTTGGAGGTCTGGGACTGTCTGGGGTCCTCGGGAGTTCTGGTACGTCCCCAGCCAGGCACTGTTCAAGAGGGGAGTCGGGGACCACTTGGAACGATATATGAGAATCCGAAGATGTCGAGCATGAGCCCGTGCCCAGGAGGGATGCCACGGAGATTGAAGCCCAGGTTGGTGTTTGCAGAGCGGTTTGAGTGCAAAAGGAGTCTATAAGGCGTGGCTTGGCATTGGCATCTGTCGTGTTCCTCGGAGACTTGGGCAAGTGGTGCCTTCGAACCTTGCAGTCTACGGTTTCTGCACAGCAACTCCGAAAATTGCGGTTTGAAGCCCCAAATGCATTCGAGCAGTTCGGATTGTTGCATTGGTCTCAAAGTACACAGGTCCCGCGGCTGAGGCTTGGGGAAAAAGGGTAGTAAAAGCATCCAGGCAGGGGCTATGACAATGACACCTTTCACGTGGCCCCTCTTCCTTTTGTTTCTGGGCTGGCTGGCCTGTGAATTGAAAGAAGATGTTCTGTGCCGAAGCTCCAGATCTCCCAGAAGGTCCTAAGCCTTGTCCTAAGCCCTGAACTCCGAGATGCGGCTTGTACTGACAGGCGTCTCGAGCGAAATCAGCCAACAAAGCTCCCGCCAACAAGGCAGCAAAAGGGACTCTGTGTTTCCCGAAGTTTCAGACTAGCTCCAGGTTGAGCGATACGCTACCCCAGCTCAGGCCCAAAGCGCAACTGCGGCCAGTCACGTCAATCATGCTGAAGAGAACGCGGCCGCAGCAACGGCAGCGGCAGAGAAGGCAGTGGCACACAAGATCACAGAAGAGGCAGCTGAGAAGGCAGCTGCTGAGAAGGCAGCTGCTGAGAAGGCAGCTGCTGAGAAGGCAGCTGCGGCAAAGGCGGCCGCGCAGAAGGCGGCCGCGGAGAAGGCAGCAGCTGACAAGGCTGCAGCAGCCAAGGCTGCTGCGGAGAAGGCTGCAGCTGAGAAAGCAAAGAAGGCCGCCGCGGAGAAGGCTGCTGCACAAAAGACGGCTGCAGAGAAGGCTGCTGCACAAAAGGCGGCTGCAGAGAAGGCTGCTGCAGAAAAGGCTCAGAAGGCAGCTGCAGAAAAGGCTGCCGCGGAAAAAGCGGCCGTGGACAAAGCGGCTACTGAAAAGGTTGCTGCAGACAAAGCGGCAGCTGCAAAAGCTTTGGCTGAGAAGGCCGAAGCGGAGAAGGCGCTAGCAGAAATGAAGGCGGGTATGCAGCCGTATGAATGCAGTCTGGACCCATCTTGGTGTCTTGAGTCTTCTCCTGAAAGTCAAAATCGTGCAAAAGAACCTTTTTATCTCGATATCGATCCTTACACTGCGTGATCTGTGCAGCCATAGTCCGGGAATGTCCGGGACTCGATTTCTCCAATCCTTGCCATGTCAGGCTGAATTTGCCCCACACCCTGTGGAGCCATCTGCCCTGCGTTGCGAATTGCCCAGCATCAGCATTCTCACTCTTCGGTTTCTGTGCGGAGCTGGAGTGAAGTCAAATTCTGCATGTTTCTGCCAGCGCAAGGCCGCAAAGGAGGAAGCTGAGAGGGCAGTGAGGGAGATGAAGGCACCTAACTGTGCTAATTCTTTATTGCGGATATTCGCGGTGATCATGCTACGGTGACGACCACGAGGACGAGAGGATGAGGAGGCTCAGGAGGAAGAGGCGAAGGACCGAGACGAGGACGACGACAATGACAGCCACGACGAAGGAGGCGACGACGACGACTATAATACGAGGAGGAGGAGGACACTGCGACCATGACGACGAAGACGACAGCATCAACTACGACTAAGATTAGCATTGCTGCTTTCCCCTGCTCCCAGTCCTGGTCCTAGTCCTAGTCTGCTACTGCGACTGCTGCTCCTATTGCTGCTGCTACTGCGTCGACTGCTGCTGCGACTGCGACTGCGACTGCGACTGCTGCCACTCATGCCACCACTGCTACTGCTAACGTTGCTGACATTGCTACGACTGCTACAACTGCTACGTACTTCTTCCACTACTGGTTCTACTTCTCTTGCGGCTGCTGCTGCTACTACCGCTACTACTACTGCTTCTGCTGGTGCTGGTGTTGCTGCTGGTGCTGGTGCTGGTGCTGGTGCTGCTGCTGCTGCGGGTGCTGCTGCCGGTGCTGCTGCTGGTGCTGCTGCGGGTGCTGCTGCTGGTGCTGCTCCTGGTGCTGCTGCTGGTGCTGCTACAGCTACACTGAAAGGTTCGGAACTGACCTCAGCTCGCAACTGGCGGTCCTGTTGCCGTCCCCAGGAAAAGGCCGAAAAGGCACAGCGAGAAAAAGAAGCTGCCGAAAAGAAGGCGACAGAAAGCGGAGAGCGCGGGCTCTGCGTTCGGGGTTGGCGCAGATGGCTAAAGTAAGGATTTGAGCCTGGGTTCAAAAAATGACAGATAAGCCTAGCCTTGTATGTTGCATCCTGGCTCAGCTTTCATATCGATTTCGTATCGCTGCTGCTGCTGCTTTGCTGCTGCTGTTGCTGCTGGCCTTCTAGGTTTGGTATTTCCCAACCACTTTTCGTCGTCGGAAGCATGATGAAGACCGGCATGATGTATGTGGGCCTCCTGTCTTTCTAGTGCTTGCGCCTAGCGTAGAGCTGCATGAGGTCAAGCAGGCGAAGAAAGAGGCCGAGAAGAGCAACTTGGGCCCCAAGCTCCTCATCACCTTCAAGTCTCCGGATGGCAGCCCGCCATGACAAAGTTTCATCGGCTTGAGGGCTCACGCTTCCGCTGAGGGTCATCGGAACGGCTCGGAGCCATCATTGCTTCAGCGTGTGAGAGACGTTTAAGTACATCAGCACACCACAGTCTTACAGCAGGGTGGGGATGGAGCTTCAGCGCTGGTTTTCCAAGGGCCGGGGCTTCTGAAGCATCCACAGGCTGGAGCTTCAGCTTTCTCGGCAGGTCTTAAGGTCCCGAACCTCCTTGCATGTTTCAGCTCTGCCTCTGTTCTGCTGCTCAGTACACCCACAGGCAGGGACAACAAGACAGTCACCTTTACCAAGCGGCCACTCGGGGCTCTTTGGCGGCACTTCCTGCAGGATTCAGCATAGGGTGTGGGTCTTAGGTCGAGGTCAACTAGGAAACTGAGCAGGAGCTACATACTGCTTGGGCTGGGTGTCAAGTATCAAATCCATCTCGAAGGCGCATGCATCAGGCGGAGGGAAGCATCGAGCCGTGTGTATGCGTCTTTGGTCGCCAGGGTTTGATTTTTATGTTTTGCGGTGTAGATGGAGTAGAGCATCTGTGTGTGGCACCCACATATCTTGAACCTCGAGGCCCGGCAAGCCGGCTTCCGCCGCATGGCGTTGAACCACCCTGACATCCCTGACATCGACACGAGATCCAAACTCTTGACACGTAATGCTTTGAAGAAACGTTTTGCCCACTCCCCTCCTGCACGTGCCAGGTGTCCTGCAGCATGGACTCGATGCCAATCGTTGTGGGCGAGAAACCTGCGCCTTGGCCAGGCAGTTCAGAGTTGGGAGGGTTTTTTTGAGATAGAGGGATTTAGAATTCTAGGATGAGGCTTCGGTTTCGGGCCGGATTCGGCATCCTGCACTAAACTAAATCTCGGACGTCGTGAAGCCATGCCTGCGTCGAAACCAAAGCCAAGAGAGTTTTGTGCCGCCCAGGGTTTCCGAAGAAGTGATGAGTCTCCGATGCCAGCTTCCTTGTCGGCCTTTCCCGGCAGGAGCCCTCCTGTCGAAACAGGTTCGAGCAAAATCCTGGCCGCTCCCCGGAAGCGGATTTTTCTCCGACCTGGGCCAACCCCCAAAGCGGAAAGGCCTAAACCCACAGCTTACATCCCAATCACACCGAACAGTCCCCGAAGCGTCTCGTCGTGTTTTGCTTTTAGGTCGGCGAGGCAGCGGAAGCCGGGATCGCGGAGGGCTGGATACTCTGCCAGGCCAGGCAGGGATTCGCTTCCATGTCCGAAGGTCTTTTTTGCAGTGTGGTGAGCGGTACCTTGCGTGTTCGACGTTGCAGATTCGGAACAATGCCTCAGGACAGAATGGTCCGAGGGATATATCGGATCAAGAAGCAAACGACATAAAGTTCAGTCTTAGCTGTGCACCGAGTCTCTGCGGTTTCGCCCGCAGTAGGTAGGTGCGGGGCACGTCAGTGCGTGGGAGTTGTTCTAGACATTAAGTAGTGTTTTGGACAATCGGAACTTGAAAGTATGAAGCCCCTCCGGACAGGAAGCAAAGTCCTTTACAACTGGTCGTGGTAGACATAGCTACACCCTAGAAAAATCCTAGCCCGAAGCTGTCGTTGGAGTTCAGGGCCATCAACTCCTACGACCCTGTCGTCCTAGAACCCTCGCCCCATTTGCTGAGCCCCAAAGCCTAACATGTTACGTCGTTTTCTTACCCCTTTCTTCAAGTTTAAGCCTCAAAGTTTTCGAGTTTTAGACTTCAGGTTCCGGGCACAAATAAGTGACGTCCGTCCATGTGAGAGGAGGGCTGTTCCACAATGGTAACATTCCGGTTAGTTCACCTGACCTCAAGTCGTTTATCTCATGCCCTCAAAGGTGGGCACGGACCCATCGAACATGCGGACCGCAGGGCCGCACTTGGCTTCTTCCTGCCGTAGGGCCAGGGCATGTGGGTTCTGTTGTTCCGAAGTCTTGAGGCTTAGGGGAGAGATAGGGGGAGCGAGAGAGAGCGAGAGAGAGAGAGAGAGAGAGACAGGATGCATTATACTCGTACTTCTCACCCCTTCTCCCGCATAAGACGTGCTGGTGGGCATTTTGCCCGGGGGTCTAAACCGACCCCTATACCCGGAGGAGAGAGTTTGGTTCAGGTTCAGGGCGTAAGCCGTCTGAGCAAGCACGGGTGCTAATGGCCATGCAGACCAAGACCCCACGAATATCAACCTTTCAGCGGCGCTGTGAATGTCGAATTCGAAGCCGGCGTTTAGGTTTGACGTCTTTGATGCCATGTTGCCACTGCGGCCCTGGCCCGCTTCGCTTTGTCGCGGCGTCCTTCGCTGCGAGCTCTTTCTGATCTTTCTCCTTCGCATGCTTCCTTTGCACCTTTGACACTCCGCGGGACCTCATTGGTCTGGGAGCCATTGTTTGCACCACGAGCAAGCTAGTTCGAGGCCCTCTTGCAGTGGAGTCGGCGCTCGCGGGGCGCCGACGCCTCTTCGCTCTTCTGTTCGCTTCGCTCTTTCAGTGTCTGCCCCCGTCAGGTTGAGCCTTTAGCCGATAGGGATGTTCAGCTGGGTTTGGGCCTTGCTCCCCCTAGTGTTCTTACTCAGGGTTTCTCAAGTCCTTCAAGTGCTCGTGTGCAGGCTCCGTCGCAAAATGGGGTTGAGCCACCTCGCCACCTGCAATCCCCTTTGCAAGTTCCCCGAGCCAATCTTTCTCCGTAGCCGCTGCTGCCAGGCGACCCTTTTTCTTCATTTTTCCGTTTCATCCGTCTCTTCTCTCGCGCAGAGCGACTCCTGCTTGTGCCCTTGGCAAGCAGCGTGGGCGTCACGTATGGCCCGTCCCGATGTTTTTTTCCGAGCTGCTGCTCCCCGGCCTGGTGGCACTGGAAGTTTGGCTTTTTCTTGGACAGCCGAGCTCACCTTCGAAGGGCCTCCGCTAGGCCCTCGGCGAGGGTTTCAGTGTTTCCCAGCTCCAAGTCTTGGCATCTCTTCGTATTCTCCGTGCGGGAGTGGCTGCTTGGAATGCGGCAGGTCCCCTTGAGGCCAAGGATCTGGGTCAGGGGGTGCGCCTGAGTATGAGGGACTCTATGACATCTCTCGGACTAGCAAACCGCTGAGCGAAGGTCTGTTCAGCTTCTCCGATCCCTGCAATGTCCTTCCCGTCGAGCAAGGTTGAACTTGTTTGGAGAGCCGAGCTTTGATCACTTGCCGTTCCTCGACAATAGGAACAGGGCCACGTATGCCCGACCCGTGGACTTCGCTCGAGATGTTGGCCTCGAAGAATCCGTGGCACGCATGGCCGTCCGAGCTAGCAAGCAGGATGCGGCAATGCTTCTAGAGCTCCTCGACTCTCTGGAGGTCTGCAGCTATGCCAGAAGGAGATTCGGGCCCACCTTCGGAATGGGTTGTTCACGGTGGCGAAGGATGGCCAAAGTGACAGAATGATTCTGGATGCGCGACCCCCCAACTTTGCCGAAGACACGCACAAACACAAGAGTGCCCGAGGCGGGTTGGGGTTGCTTTTCGGGTAGTGGTTCGGGCAGGGGATCCGGTGAGTGCGTTTCACTCCGAACTTTCAAGTCCCCCGGTGAGCGGTTACTTGCAGGGGGCCGCTCGGAAGCATGGTCCTCTGTTTGTGCTCAGGAAGAGAGAGGGAGAGAGAGAGAGAGACACACACACACACAGAGATAGCAAGATAGAGAGAGTGAGAGAGAGAGGAGTCAGAGACTCAGTTCCCCTTGCCGTATGTCTTCAGAGGATCACAAGACTCCCCCTTGGGTGGGCCAGCGAAGATGTCCCCCTCCTCAGGCGTCATGTTCCCCCGTGCATGTGTTCTGCCAGTAGGCGACGTCTGCGGTGGCTGCTGTCTGACATCGCCTCGACATCATCGACGGGGGTATCTTCACGCCTTCGGGTACGTCCTTTGGGCGGGTTGCTCGAAGAACGGGCCACGTCCCCCAGTCCATGATGTCTCTCTCTGTACCACCACTCATCTGGCTTCCGGTCCCCCGCGCCTTCCACGATTTCTTCTGGAGTTGCCGCCGCGATCCCCCGAACGAGGTTCATAGCGGCTTGCTGCACCGTGGGTAACATGTGTATAGGCCAGCGGCGAACTTGTTGAAGTAGGCTTCGAAGGGTTTCCACGGCCACGTACCATTCCGGTGTTTCCGCTGTTTGCAGTAGGCTGGTGTCAGTCCCCCCCTTGGCTCAAAGTAACGACGTCAGCCGGATGCGCGAGCATCACCCCCTTGAGGAGGGCTTCCAAAGCTTCAGCGACTGCGACCAGTTTTGCCCAGGTTCGCGGTCCTCCGGGCGTTCCCGCCAAAATCTCGCTCAGGACCTCCCGGAGAGGCGTCAAGACTGGCGGCAGCTGCACATGCATTGAGATGTCCCCTTGTTCAAGGGTGCCGAACCCTCAATGAGAGCCGCCACATGTGGAGCGACCATTGCATAAGGCAGACATGTCTCTCCCCCTCTACTTAGGAGTGTTCTAGCTAAATGTCGCAGGTGTTGTGCTGCTTGTAAAGCTGCTGTGGCGGGTGTTTGTGCAGCGGGCGTGTTGGCTTGGGCGGGGGCTGCATCTTCCGTGGCCTCGATCTGCAACGCTGTTGGGGTGTCCACCAGTAGCTCGATGATAGCTGCTTCGGCCGTGTGCACAATGGCACGGCTTTGGCTGTCATCATGGCTTTCGGCAAGCCGTCGGATCTCCATGAGCCCCCGTTCAACTCTTTGCCACGACCGTGTTCTGTAGCTGCTGGGGTGATGGCTGGAGGATGCGGCTGCTGCGGGTGCCGCTTCCATGCCTTGCGGTGTGGTTTGGGCTTCGTTCTCTTCCGGCGGGGTGGGGAAAGGGGAGGTGGGTGTGAGAGCTTGGGTTGTGTCGACCTCTTTCCGGTCTGCGGGGCGCTGGCTCTGTTGTTTGTTGGGGGGCCCGCGTTGGTTGATTTGCATGAAGCTGCCGAGGTCGTTGTCGTGTGGTAAATTGGTGGTAGTTTCGGTGGTGCCACTGGTTATCGTGATTGTGGTTGTCGTGGTTGTTGTGGTTGTGGTGCTGGTGCTGGTGGTGCTGGTGGTGCTGCTGTGGCTGGTCCGCGGTTGCGAGTCCCCCCAGTCGTGGTTGGTGTTGTGTTGTTGGTTGCGCCTGCTTCTGCCCAATTGCCGGCCATCACTGAGCAGCCCTGCTAGGGAGGGTGTTCCTGAGGGTCTGTTGGGAGCTTCTGGCTTGTTCAGGGGGGGGGGCGGCTCTCTCGTTGGGATTTGCGAAGTTCCCGCCCATCCGATAGTGTATTGACATGCTCCCGAGCTGGCTCCGCCCGTGTGTTGGTTTTGCTGCGGGTCTGTGGGTAGTAGCTGCGTGGCGGTTCATGTGACGAACTGGAGCTAGCGCTTGCTGAAGCTGTTGCACCTTGGGGGTCGATGCTGTTGTCGGCCGCTGTTGTGGCTGCTGTGTTGGCTTGGTAGTTTTGGTCGTCTGGTGTTTCCCCGTGCTCGGGGATTGGTGCTAGGGAAGATTTTCCCGCCGGGCCTGCTGCTTGCTGCTGCGCTCTGCGCTCGGCTGCTACCAGGTTGCGTCGTCTTTGCCGGAGGATCCGGTGACAAAAACTCAATTCGGATGCTCCATCCGTTCGCTAGCCAAACAGCAGACGGTCGCCCGGTGCCAAAAGCATGGTCTCTCCTTCATATGTTTGATGAGATGGCGTCGATTCGACGGTCAGTACCCATAGCTCTGCTGAAAGGAATTCCATCGTCCCCTCCAAGCCAATGGGCACGGGGGGTGCTGTATCCACAGGCCCGCCGTCCCCCTCAATGACTGCTTTTGGTAGGCCAGCGATGTTCTTCGGCCGGTTGCGCCTGTTCGCCACGACATCGATGTGCCATCTTCCCTCACCTTGCTGCGTCACCTCGGTTTGTGAGCGGACAAGGGAACTTGGTGGTCGTCCCTCGAGGCCTGTATCTTCCAATTCCTCCTCTTGCTGCGAACTGTCCCCCGCTGAGCTAGGGCTTTGGGATGGGTCGTCCGCAGTAGCGTTTTTGACTCTAAACCCAAAAGGCCGGGGGGCCTGACCCGTCCCCTATGCTTTGGGGAAGAAGAAGAAGGAGTCAGAGACAGAGACAGAAACAAAGAGGGAGGGCTTTAGCTTGATGACATGCTTGTGTGGGTTGTGCTGCCGGAAGGTTGGGGTTTGCGGTTGAGGAGGCTCATGCTTTGAGAATGTTTTCTTCCATGCAACAGTTCTGGCCTTCATAAACGCA